GGACACCCCCGGCCGGGCCTTTTGCGCCGGGGGGGGGGGGGGGGGGGTTTAGCCACTTTTGTAATTGATCTTTCCTTCACGATCTCTTTGGCAAATATTGATTCTGCATATAGAAAACGTTGAAAATGTGTGCTGCAATGCTTTATACGACAGAGAAAATGAAACTAAAAAAACGAAACAAATTCCATTGTTTTTTCTGTTCTTTTCTTATTTCTTATCTTACGACTAGTATCATCGAAGTTTGTCCAAATCTTTGTTGTTTGACAAAAAATGCTTTTTTTCAATTCTACATCAATATTTGCATTCACATTGATTCATATTTATAAAAATAATTCAAAAGCGCGTTCACTTAAGCTGTTTCTTCGGTAAGCAAAATATGTAATAGGAATGTTGCTTCTTAAAAGTACACTTCGTTCTCTCGGTTACATTAACGATTACACTTTCTGAGCCGAACGGCGATGTCGTAATTTCTGATAAAGCTATGTGTCCGTGGCTGCGAAATGGTTCTTTCAGTGATAATAGCATCACCACTACTGTTGTTTGAAGTTTGGGAAAACGATAGACATAAATTTAGATTCATGATGATGAAATGGTTATAACTTAAGGAAAAATAACTGGGTGTCACCTTTGTTAAAAATGATAAGGGAAAGAAGAAGAAATGTGAACTTAAGAAAACGTTTTTAACGAACTGTTTTTCGATCATTTCGCTTGTAGGACTTTTCTTACTTAAAGGCTTTGAAGACAACCTTTTATAGAAGCCTACAATGATGAGTCACGGCTTACACGTAATACAGAAAAACAGTTAAAATACTGAGTGTATGCCGAAAAATCAGAACGACATATAGACAAATGGGCTTTGGATCTTAAGCTTGTCTGAAGGAGTTAAGCTTCCAATCAAAGAATGTTCTACATTAATGTCAAAGAGGAACGACTTAAAATTAAACCATATAATGATTTTTGCAGCAGTTTTTAGTTTTAACACCATTTTATTTGGAAATTTCGGATAGGAATTAGCAGAATAGAAAACTAAACATATGAAATAACATTAAAACTCATCCCCTATATATGCGCATCTTTAAAAATTACTAGACATGCTTTGCTGAGCGTTTTTGCTTACGCAACATTTAACTATGTTACTCGCGCTTCATTTCTCTTATCCTCTCACTTCGTAAAGAATCACTCAACAAAATACGCATGATGAATTTTTATCTTTGACAAGAACTGACCTGATACCAAAAGTCATGGCTTTTCATTGCGCAAGTATTTCACTGCTTTATGCTCTATCTACTCTAAGTTGAGCCACAGTGACGTAATACAGCTTTGTACAAGTCATATCGCAGAAAATCAAAGCTTTTTTGATGACATCATCTTGATACGGAGTTGGCTAATAATGACGCTCTGTGGTTCGAGACAATAGGGCAAAGAGCAAAAGATTGGTTAAATAATATACAGATACTACCGCAAACGCTGTTTCATTGTGTGCACAGGCGTAAGGAATATAGGCCCAGATAGAATTAAGGGATAAACCGCAAACTCTATGGAAGAGTGCTTAGCGTTCACATATTATTTAGATCTTTAATTTTTTTAATAAATCAGTACCATTCGGAGGAGCATTTTGCACTATTTTAAAGAGGACTATTATCGAATTCGTTACTAAAATTTAATTAAAACTCGGAACGTCTCCAAATGGTTTAGTTACAGAAGAAATAATTCTTTTACCTTTAAGAATTTTTCTTCTCCTATGCCTGTTTTTTTTCGTAAATTTTTAGATCTTTCCACATTATTAGGAATTTGTCTAAATCTTGGCGAGTCTTACTCTCACTAAACGGATCTTCAATATATCTCTGATTTTTCTAATTTCCTTTCCTAGTAGAGAAAAACATTCATCTTCGAATTGAATTTCTGCTTATTCCTTCTTCATTAGCAGAGCCATCGTATTCAACGTGTGAACTTGACTCTCCCGTGTTCTAAAGAATAATATGGTCAACTCAAAACTGGTAAATTACTAGAAACTCATAAGACTTGTGTAATTCTCTCTTTACCGCCATACATAGATTAAAGATCGAATGTCCGTAACGTCGACTGCTGCTGCTTTTACGTCTGTCCCGTATAAAAGTGGTGTTGTCTCAATATGCTGCTACCTCCCTTTAAAAATCGTATGCTCAGAGTGAAAGTTCAGCAAAAATACTTCGTATTTCATACCAATTTAAAATCTGTACTACCAGTCACAAAACTTTAAAAATTCCTTTCTCCGAAGTCGGCAAGCTGAGAGCATTTGAAACCATACCGAAACATAAAAGCTCATTTTGAACGATTTAAACGTATTCAAAGAGAGTAATGATAAATGACAACGCTGAACTGCTTTATCATTCATCTTCGACAAATATAACAGAGACTATCGTTGTTCTTTTCTCACTTTTCAATGGAAATTAACAGATTTCCCTTCTTTTATCTACGGATGTGACAGTGCAGAAACCCATAGTATTTTCTAGCAGCTCGGTGCCATAGTGTTTGGGTGAAAAGTAAAAGAGTCTCAGTTTTTACCAGAAGATCGTCTAGGATTCAAATATGGAGTCCATGATATCGCATTAAAGCGAATGGAAAAATTCTTTAACGAAGTTTAGACACTATACTTTTCTCAGATTTTCAGTGAAAAATAGGTTTAAAGGCTACTGTCGGAGGAGGTCTGTGGAATACAACCTTTTCAGCTAAGAACCCGAGTGAATCGGAGAAGAACAATACTTTCATCTCGTGCCTAATTATTTCATTTATATACAGATGAAATTAGGCAACCACCCAATTGAAACTATTCGGATTTGTCCACTTTCCGCCTTAACCATTTAATCAACTCAAACTTAATAGTTTCAGTTTGGTATATGCCTAGATGAAACAGCGCGTGGATGTGCTTTTTAGATGTCAAAATTAGAGATGCTTCCTAATGAGCTGTTATTCGAAATATTTTGCTATCTTCGAGCAATTGATATTATCAAAGCGTTTTATCCCTTAAACTTTCGTTTTGACTCATTAATCGCAAATATATCAATCGATATTGATTTGGCAGATGAAAGCATCTACACGGCAGACTTAAAAAATATCATTCCGCGTTTTGTTGATCAAGTTAAGACGTTGAGTGTATGGGATACTGAAACATACAATCGTTTCAAAAACGTTTATGTTTCAATAGACAAATGTCAACAATTAAGATCTTTAGATCTATTGGGCATTGGTGGATCGTGTATTCGAGACATAAGCTTTAAATTAAAATTTTTTCCACTTTTATCATCATTCTATATACGTGCTCTATCTGAATGCTCTCTGGGAGAAATGCAAGTCTTGTACCAAGCTATATTTAATAACCCAACTTTAAAAACATTGTTGATCACTTATATTAAAACTGATGAATTTAACGATATTTCTATACTAAATGGAAACAATATCCAAAAATTGAAAGTCAAGTGTGCATTTGCGGAGTTTCAAAAGCTATTAACGATTATACCAAAGATAAAATATTTAATGGTTGATGTTGATTGTTCTACGAATCAAGGAGCCAATGTTCCCTCTAATTTATCATTATCGATGCCGAATTTGATTTATCTAAGTTTAAACGCACATTTGATGGAATTTGTCTACATCGAATATTTATTAGCTCAACTATCATCATTAAAACAACTGTTACTTGAACTTACTGATTACGGTAAATTTTCTTATACTGATGCGTGGCGCTGGGAAAAAGTGTTATCTTCGATAAATAATTTTGATCTAACTTTGCCTACTGGTAATAAGACTCCTCAACAAATATACAATGACTTCAACAGTGATTTCTGGAAAAAACGAGCCGTTATAGTTACATGCGCTTATCATAAGCTCACCATTCAAACACCGTTGACATTCAACTAATAGACAGACACGCTGGTTTCTTTTAACTATAAATGTAACGCATGATTTAAGTCAGAACAAAATATAGATGACAACTGATGGATAAGACGTTAATCGTCATATTCTAAGCTACGGTAAATTCATTATAAACAATTTTTTCATTACTGAATATAACAGCGTCCAGAAAACATGCTCTTTCTACTAAGCATAAAAGAATTATGGTTAGATCAAGAAGGACTTCTAGAAAGTAAAAGATTTTTCGCTCACAATTTAAATGCGCATCAGACGAATTGAAGTAAAATGTGGATTCTTCTTCTATTTCATTTTCTCTGTCTGATTGACTGTTTTCAATTATATTGTCATCAGCTTGATTCTCATCGTATTGTGGAATGTCAACGGAAATATGCATTTTTGCACGATTTCTATTTGAATCTACATAATTAAAAAAAACTAAATTTATTCAGTCTCAGAATTTTTGAAATTTCATTGCTTCGTCTATCAGATTCATAACCCCTCAAATTGAGTAGTTAGTTCCAAGTGGTACACTTGCGTTTTTGACACAAACAGACGTATTAATGTTGTACTACCTGATTTTTGCACACGAGTATATATTATACACGTTAATCGACCCTTAACTGTTGTTAAAGATGGGTATGTAATTGTTGCTAAAGACGGGTATGCAACCGCTCGTTTCAACTTTCGAGTCATTCCTCTAAAATATCCGTTAAAAACACCATTTCTATCCCATATCTCCACTTGACAGTCTGTTTTGAGAAACCTTTTTAGTGGTAAAGACAGGCATTTTCTGAATAATATGAACTTCTAGGATCAAGATTTGACCTCTGATCACATTCTATACTTTAAAAAGAAAAAAATGTAATCGAATAGTTAAGAAAATAGTGCATTGGTGCCTCATATTTATTTTATCGCTAAAAACTGTTGAATTCCGATCTTCGAAACTCGGGGTTTTCCAACATGTTGGACCTCACGAGCATTTTTGCGCTCTAAACAATGTAAAAAGGGACCGACAATTAAAAAATAAACGTACTCTACCGAACCTAAACAGGGTTTAAACTTTTGTCACCATCTTTATACCTTTTTAAGGTTTCATACAGGCTACGAAACCTTTTAAGGCTTCATACAGCACATTAAATCGTCACTGGAAAAAATTTGTGCAAATACACAAAACATAGTGTTTTCTCAGTGTTCCCGAGCTTTTTTCAGTCACGGATTTAGCTAAGTAAAACGGTATATAGTTTGTACGAAACCTTCAAAAGGTATATAGATGGTGACAAAAGTTCAAACCTTTTTTAGATTCGGCAGAGTACCTTTTTTTTTAGAGAGTAGGCGACGAGTTCATCTGCTTCCGTTCGCGATATGTCGCCATATTAAGGGATAGATAAAAAGTAGCGGTTGTTGCTTCCCAAAATTTTCTTTCGAGGTAGACGCTAGAGCTCGGTGGTTTGGAAATGACGCAAACACTTGTAGCTAGAGATTAATGCAATCAAATTTTCGTAAATTTGTAAAAAAAAATGTTTCTGGCATTTAGTAAAGAGTAAGAAAGCCAAAAATCTATCTGACGTTTCCATAAAGACATTCCATAAAGACTTTTCTGTATCAGAACTATAGTCATAAAACGAAAATCAGGCACTGTCAACTGATGGCGACAATATTTAGCTTCTACTTGAGACCGAGCCGAGCTGTATGAGACCCTGCTGAGCGAAAATTTTTGAGAAGTTTCGAACCATGTAAAGTGAAAAGTTGATTTCGCGTTATGATGGCGCTAGTGCATGGTGATGATTTAACGTCCTAAACGTCCGTTATAACTTTTGATTTATTTTTTCACTTATATTTTGAAATTTATTTTGAACAAATCTAAAGATGAAAACCAGCTTTTATTCTTGAATATTTTATAGAAATGTTTGATATCGTGAGGTGAGGGTGGTATGCGTGGGAGAGACTTTGAATTTCATTTTTCTTTTTTCTGCTCATCGGTCTCTTTCTTCTCCTCATTCTCCTGTTCATCCCAATGGCAAACATCATTCTCAAGAGTTTGATGAAGATAATTTGAAATGCGTTTAAATTCTCGTGTATCTGCTTTATCATTTTCCCTTTGTCGTCAATATATTAAATCTTTCGACATCGTGCTTTTATTTCACTCTTTTCACTTTGTTTTATCTCTAAGTACATCAAAAAAACAGAAAAATTAAAAAATGAATTAGAAAAGAATTGGATGAGTCTTTTTCTTTAACAGAAAAGGAAAAATATGAGATTAAGAGAGCTTCCACAACAGTACCGACCATGTTGACCTCTGGTGAAATTTCGTTTGTTTTATTATTTACATGCCACTCGAAAGAGCATTCAAAAATACTAGTAACCCTACAATAACTCTTTCTGAAAGTGCTTTGTACCAAAAAATGTAATACGAAACATTCTTAACCCTTTCGTGCCCGATATATATACCCGGTACGAAAGGGTTAAGATATGAATAAAATGGTTGACACTTACAAGCATCCCAAAAGGAAGAAAACTCATCTTTATCTTCATCAATCACAATCAGTTTTCTAATATTTTTCCTGAGCATGACTTTTTTGAGAAATTTAACTGTTGATATTTGGGACTGACATTCTTTTCTGAAAGCTTTTCATAGGTTTACTTTATACTATCTGCCATGATCATCCTACCGATTTTCCAGTTTAATTTGTATAAAAAGCCGAGAGGCTTTCCCGAGCAAAACGAGTTTTAAGGATCTTTATAGTGTATAATACCATTAATTCTAGATCTCTATTTCATTATTGGTGGTCATATATAATAAAACATATTTGGTTTTAAATTCAGCTGCAAAGCCAGAAATCAAGGCTGATGAAAGGTAAAGTGTTACAAGACTTTATGCATTAAGGTGAAGTGATGAGATACAGCAAATAGATAACTCTTTGTCGTTTTTAAGAGATGCTTACACTCTAGGGACTTGTGAATATCGCATTTTCAATTACGAAATTTATCCGAAAGAGTCATTTTAATTAGATCTGAAATGTTTTAAAAACAAAGTCTGTAGTAATGTAGATTAAAAATAAAACGAAGATGAAAACTTGCCACTCAACTGTATATCGTCACAGCTTGCTCGAATCGATAACATTTTGCCTTTAGCTACGCTGATATATTTTGTCGGATCATTAGTGAGAAGAAATAGAAATACATTAACGTAATTGAGTGTCGATATTCTAGGGCATTCATTGATAATCGTGATATTGTACAAGCAATTGATAGTAGTTATGCCCAATTGATTTAAAATTAAACAGAAGAAGAAAGAACGCCTTCCACCACTGTGATTGATTATAATTGTTTTTATTACTACTATGGTAGTATGCTTTTTCTAATATATGGGTTTGTCTCCTTATACCATATTGTATTCGTCCTGAAAGAACACCAACAAAGTTTGATAATGATCAGGAGAAATCATGCACTGGACAGAAATTTAGTTTTAAAGAATTAAAGTCAAGAAATGTAAGTACCTCTGATTTGTTCAATTGGAATGCAATGATTGAAACAATTGATCTATATGAAAAATATCTTTTGTTATCCAATGTTGGCCTTGGTGATGAAATTTATTGTAAATGTACTAATTTTTAACATTCGGAAGATATTGTAAAAACGAATTTATTCGGGGCTCAACAACCTCTCTTAATGAAGCTCTTTTTATAGGAAGAAAGAGAATTCCGTCCAACGAAAAAATGACAATTTATTCTGTAACTTATTACACAGGTATTCAGTGTAAGAATAACATACTTTGCTTAGACTGGAGACAGATTTGTAATGGGATTGTGAAGAAGGTGAAGATGAAGCGCCATAAATGTGTTTAGAGTTAGAAATGAATGAATGTAATGCCGAAACAGAATTTTGTTGTAAGAATAGTGATTATTCAGATATAATTGTCAGGTAGTGCTCTTATAGAAAACTTTAACTTCTTCCTCTGTTATAAGCTTTATTTAGTAAGGAGGCAAGAAGAAAAAGGATTACGTTTAAAATAAATATAAGAACAGGTTAAAAAGAAAGAGGAAAACCCATGACATCATACTGTCTGTTCATGAAGAAAAAAGTTGCTAGTGTACATGCAACTGGCTTAGGTATAGTTGATGTAAATGCAAGAGCAGTGAATTGCGTAACTTGGCAGTGTCCCTCTCATATTTAGCCACTATATTTGATTATTTCTCTGTTATTGTTATCCATTCGTTTTGTATTTGTTATTGCCTGTCAACTCATTATATGCACGTAATGTACGAAAATTGATTCGTAAACCATATTTAGCCGACAACGAGCCGTAGGCAGCAACTGCCTCTCATGACTCCGCAAGGAGCAACAAAATGTAGGAGGACTTTGGTTGACAGGCAATGTATTTTTAAGAATCAAAGCTGCTTTTTTATGAAATTTTATGAAATAATATTAGTCAATGGCGCTTAAATGTATCCGTAATGGATTCCCACCCCAAATCGTTTAGAACTTTCCGGGCTGAACTGGATATCGTGGCTCCATCTTTATATCATCTCTTTCAAAGGCTGACATAATCCATGATTAGGGGGAGATTTATTTGAGACTACTAAAAAAAAGAGTTTGTTAATATGTCCGACGCACATTTACCAAAAGAATATTTAGAATTCATCCAGTAAGAGCTAACAAATCAACGACTTTACTTAGAAGAATACGCAACTCAAAATTTAATCTAGCTAATAAGAGTTATCGCAGATTAAAGTAGTTAGACAACCAAAATAGTAAATCACATCTTTTCGCAGGTATAGACGTTACATATTTCTCATGTTTTACTAAATTAATAATTCCGTTAATAAAAGAGCAATGCTGTACGCGTCCCGCATCATCGAGCTGAACCGCTAAGGTGTACTACATTCAACTTTACTTTGAGGTATTAGTATTTGTGTATTTGATCACATATGTATTGAATTTTGCTCGCCAGAAAACTCAGTCATAATCGGCTGCACTCACCTCCTAGTTCTCGACAATTTATTTGGAGTTATTGATGAGTGCAATGTACTAAGCGTGTGGTCAATTAATACACTTTTGATAATTTCTCTCTTGATTTATTCGAAAACTTTTATTTAAAATTAATACCGTGCGATTCGCGCCCCAGAAAAATCAAAAGCAAATCCAAATATTTTGTACCACGCATGGTAGAGTTTAAAAAGCATTTTCCCACCATACAAAAAAAACTAAATGACATTTACACAAAATAAAAGTGTTCTCATATAAAATTTTGGTTTCTAACACAAAAATTAAAACATGCACAAATCTTACGCTAACAAGATCTCATTGCCGAAAACCTTTCTTTATGTCTAATTAATTTAAGCTTCGCTTCTCTAATTCATTCCATCTTACAATATTTCTACTTACACCCGAATCTAGTTCTTATAAATGAATTAAATATCCAAAAGAATATAAATATGTTTGTCATTTATATTCAATACAACCTAAAACAAATGTTAAAATTAAACGTGGTAATTCACACAAAATAATTAACAATGGACCGATTATTATTGATTTATGACCTAGGATAGGGTCGACAATCCGTTCTTTTCTTTTAACAACATCACTCCTGAAACATCAAATCATTTCTGTTTTGATTGTGTTTTATAAGAATGAAAGAAGTCCACTTTTCTCTAATATAAACAATAAACTTCCTAGTCTAAAAATCGATACTAAAATATTGTTCTTACAACGTCAATTGACACGTGATGATATAGCAATAATTGTAAAAGAGGTCGGTGACTATATATACAATACCAGAAGATTTTCAGTTACGTCACTCTGATTTATCACTAAATAAAATCTTTGTCTCTCTCTTCAAATACTCACACTCCAGTTGGATGACACACGAAGACTACCTAGTACAGATAAATTTATCATTTGTGCTCTTTGAACAACTACCTTTGATCTATGCATGCTGTCTCTAATCTTTAATTGTGACATACGCCGGCCCTCGCGGCTAGTATGTGGTTAGTCAGTGTGTACTCAAGCAGTTGAGCGAAAGAACTCTGAGTCAGGCTGGCCTTCTGTCCAGAGCTACAGCTAGTATTAGTTGTAGGGAAGATATCGGGCTTACGAAACTGCCTCCTGGCAGCACCCTATACCGCAAGGTAGCCGAAAGGCGGGGTATTCTTCTTCTTTAATTTTGACTTATTTACCTACTTAACGTAATTTGCCTTTAATTTTGGAATATCCAAAATCGTCGCATATTTTATTACCTAATGACATTTTAAATGGTGATGTTTATTTAAAATTATTGATATTAAAAGAAGTGAGGGAGAACAAGTATGAACCGTTAAATTAATTTTGCCAAGCGAAGAAGATGATGAATTATGAGGATTGTTTCAATCAATTAAAGATCAAATTGAGAAAACACAGCACTTACCTCACTAGCGAATATCTTTTATCATATGGGAAAATATAATGAAGCTGATTTGTATTATAAGACTTATCTGAAACAGTTATCTGACAACGATCCTAACTTATCAAATCGTTATTTGAGCCTTGGAAACATAGCATTTGAAAGAGATCAGATTGAAAGTGCTCATTCAAATTATGTACTAGCACTTGATTTAGAGAGAAAATCACAAGTGGTCGATCATGATCGTCTTGCATCGATGCACATAAGTTTAGGAACTGTTTTTCTTGAATTGAAGGATTATATGAAATCAATAGATCATTATAGTGAAGCTTTGGATTTATATCAGAACAAATTGCATGGAGATAATCGAGTTAAAATAGCAACTGTTTTATTTGAATATTGGCGATGTATTTTCTACTATACACAATTATGAGTTAGCTTACACTTATTATTATGGATGTCATTTAATTCATATGTTGTGTCGTCCAGATCATCATCCTGCAATGGCGCAGTCACTTTATAATATGGGTATTATAGAGATGGAAACAGAGGATTATTGGTAAGGTATGTCCCATTATGAAGATGCACTGTTAATTCAATTAGAATCCATTCCACATCATCCTCAAACAGCTCAAACATATCTCACTATTGGTGTAGCATATGCACTGTATTACCAAATTAGAAAGTGAGATGATGCATTAAAAAACCTTGAAGAAGCACTTATTTATCTACGAAAAATAACCTCTATCATCAGGTTATCTAGATATAACACGAACATTGGTATTAATCGGCAATGAACAGCTGCAAAAAAAGTATTATGAACTAGCTATGCTAGCTTATAAAAAAGGGTTGGTAATTCGATTAGCCAATTCAAGAAATGCTTCTGGTATTGCGGGTACTTATTCCAGTATTGCTGAAACATACGAAATCGGATTTCAAGATTATGATAATGCATTGGAGCACTATAAAAAAGTACTGAATAAATATGAAAATGCTACTTTGCCCGAAGATGAAGTTGATATTATTGATACACGAAGAGCTGTCGATCGAGTCATGAGATGGCTACATCAGTCGTGATTAGAAAACAGTGTCGATTAAAGGTCAGTAGGATTGAAGCTGCTCGATTAACCCGTACACTTCTTCGTTTCTTTTCTTCTCTCTCTTCACCTCTTAACTCATAAATAAATATATTAGAGAAAGAAAGACTGCTCGATAATCAGAACATGACAAGCTCTAAAGTTCTGAAAATATGACGTTCATCAAAGTCTTGTCTCTACAACATATTAAAAAACCTCTTGATTCAGAACAACCACGACCAGTTTCGTTCTTGCTTAAGGGACTCATCAGATGGCTTGAATTCGGTTTGCAATTCCAAAGGGAAAAGAAGCCCTATTAAGTCTGAATACACTAATCTAAACAAGACTACCTGCTCTTTTGCAAATGCCAAACACACGAATGTATCGGTTGTGATTCAGAGCAGCCACGATCGTTCGTGCTTGCTTAAGGGACTCTATTTGGCATCTGCCAGTACAGTAGTAACAGGTGGAGCATCTCTAGTAGATGTCTACATTTGAAGCTTATGCTGCAAAAGAACAGATAGTTTTGTTTAGATTAGTATTTACGAATCTACTCAGACTTAAAACGGCTTCTTAAAAGGGCTTTGGAATTGCAAACCAAATTCAAGTCATCTGATGAGTGCTTTAAGCAAGGACGAAACCGGTCGTGGCCGCTCTGCATCTGATCCGAATCAGTTCAAAAATTTGTAGTTCATTGTTATTTGATATGTTACAGCGTCAGTTATCATAGAATTTATTTTCTCATTTAGTCATTTACACAATTAATCGTTTGGTTCCAGTTGATCTGCCTTCGTGAGGTAAGCATCGATAATGTTATTAAACTGTTTAAGATCTTCATAAGCCATCGTGTGTCCTACCCCTTTCATAACCAGCATTTCTGCTTTCAGTATATTCGCTATCTCATGTAAGGATTAAACAGAGAGCCACTCATCCTTATCTCCAGCAATCATAAGCGTTTGTACCGTAAACTGACTTGTCTGTTCAGGTGTAAAAGAAGTTCCAACCAAAGTCCCATTACGTTAGACCCTTTCTGACATGTTTTCTAGCTGGTTTCGCTCAGGAGTTATTCAGCTTCCAACAGAACCCATTGTATCTCTCTTTTCCGACATTAATATTTTGACTGATTTCACTGAGTTACGTCGAATGAATGCGCTGTGCTCCCTCTTTCGAAATGCCAAAGTCAGCAAGAACCACGATAACTAAACTTCGAAGTATGTATGTGTATATATATTTGAAGTTAGGAACTCAGGATCTCAGAAATTCAACAAACTAGTGGAATTTTATATGGTTCGATGTCGCTTTTTATCTAGATCATATATATCAATTTCATTTTGGATTAAAAGGCATTTTTCATCAAAATATTACACAGCTGTCAAATTATTATTATACAATATAACAATGACTTAAGACTAAAGTATTCAATTTTTGACATTGTACGTTTCAAAATAACTTGCGTACAATCGCACTAGAAAATCAAGACTTCCAGAACTTCAGAATTTGAACAGCTGCAGAATTTCAGAATCTCAAGACAGCCAGAACTTCGCATTTTTCGAGTTTTCAGAAACTCCGGAATTTGAGAAGCTTACTATTTGAAAAATGACTAATTTTAAAAACAAAATTTTTTCAATAAAGTTTATTTTTCTCCGTCCAGTAGATTTCCCGCCAAATGTAAGTCAGTGCGTTTTGTAGATCGCACAATTCTCTGTATAATGGGCTATAAAATTTTCTTTCACGAGCTCAGGAACATATTGAAAAATTGCTTGCAATTATTACCATCAAAGTAATTATACTATCATTTTTTCTAAAAGTGCAATCTTTCATCAAGAAAAACGCACTTTTTACAACATGGTATACGAGTACATAGGGCATGGAACGTCGGCGGTGATAAATTACTTAAACGGCGATTATTGGATACACCGAAAGTTATAGGTCATCTACAATGTCAATCATGTTCCTCTAAGCCACTATTGCCGTCTATTACCCCAGTTTCTAAAGAACGTAAGGCTCTGTCCGACCTTCCTCGATTACCACAACAACTACAGTCGAATCGGCGGCTCAGGCTAACAGAAGTAAGCTGTGTGACTGTCCCGAAGATGTGTAGAACAGAAGTAAGCTGTATGACTGTCCCGAAGATATGTAGTTTCGTTTATCAGATACGTAAATTTAACTCAACATTTACATACAGGAAAACATCGACGTCGAATAGAACGCAGTTCCATGAGGGACATAGGTATGGCTATCTATCACTAGAAACTGGAAAATATTGGAGCAAGATCAATGATTTGTCTTCAATTAGAAGAGACTATACTTGATGATGTTGATGATACAAACCGTATTACACCATCTGACAGAGAATAGGCTTTACCAAAAGAACGAAAGTGTCACGCCTGAATGAATCTCAGATACAATATCTCACGGAGAAGTTCGATGAGGGTGTACAACAGAGAATTCGATGGAAACCAGAGGAAGTATCAGCTGAAATGCAACGAAAGAACGATTTGTAGGATAGATTCTATTTCACACCGGCCGAGTTTTTAAAACCTGGCCTGATCAGATAGTTTTTTTCACGTTTTAAGGCGATACGTGAAAAGCAAACAGAAACAGTAGTTGTAGACGAAGTGGAGGAGGAAGATGACGATAAATTTGACGATAATCAGCTAGTTGAAGAGACTGAGCAAAGAAATAGTTTAAGATATTCAATGGGAATTAGCAATGAACAATCATCACCTCCAGCTTCCTCTCGAAACCGAGCATGCTCGATTGGAATTGTTGGTTCTCCTCGCTCAGGAGAAAGACCCACATTATCTTTTGCTTGCTCTTCTACAAGGTCTAAGACGTTGTTCAAAAACGGAATAATACTATTTGTAATCGATTGAATAATATTTAGAGGTAGGATGTGTTGTTCAAGCAGCTGAAGTAGAAATCTCGCATATTGCTTTTGAACTGTTTGAAGAGTAATTTTTTCAGCTACATAGTTTTCCGGTGTGAAAATAGGGAGATTGTCATTCAAGTTGTCATCGTAAATTATGTCGTCTTCATCGTTGTCGATGAGCATTGGATAGACGGCTGATACTCCTGGCTGGTCGAACAAAATATGTCTAGCCTCACTTTCTTCAATACCAAGTGATGAAGGGTCGAGTAGTCTTTTGTGGCGTCGATGTACGTGCATTTTATAAGCATCGAAGCTCTGATAGAGTGCCCCACACTTATCTGATATTTCACAAGTTAAACGAAACTGTGGTTCGCCGGCATGGACAAATGTCATGTGTCAGAAATAATTTGAAAATGTATCAAAATGTCGATTATACTTGCAAAATACACAAAAATACCCACTCATTATCATTATATGCAAATTCAATCTAGTTATCGACAAAAGTATTTTTATATCTATTAAGTTAAACACTGTCTGATTATTCAGAAGAGCTGTCTTTCACATAAGCCCTTTATTTTCTCCGCTAGACCTACTTCAAAAGTAGAAAAATATGCAAAAAATTTGCTTAACAAAATGTTCGAAAATCTTTCTTCAGAATGAAAGTTTCTCGGTATGGTGACCGCGTTTAAGAACTATAAGAATAAGTACACTTAAGGCGCCTCAGTATTTTGAGTTTTTCTCCATGAAAGTTTAACTTTTTCAAACTAAAAAGGAGATATTCGGAATCAGCACAATTTTTTCTATCAGAGTATGCGTATTTTGGCCAAAAACGAGAACCCGTGATAAGTTTGAATTACGCGCGCCTTACTTTTAAATATATCATGAATACTCTCATCAATATTAAAACTATGAAGCCAGACCAAAACATCTTCAACCGACCACAATAAAGGATCTTTCGTACTCATTCAGAAAGAAAAAAGCGTAGATACACGTAAATCTTTTACACAAAACCCTGTGGTCGTACGATAAAGTACAATAAAAGTAACTGATAGATACTTATTTCAGTAGTTATTTCTTTATACGTCGGTTAAAAAAGTTAAAATAAAAGACGACGACGACGACTTTGCTTGTTTTTCTATTCTGGTTTAAGTTTGATGTGATGATTTCATTTCAAATAGCTCCTTTTTATTCGTAGATAGAGGAGAAGACGGCCGCTATGCATTAACAATTCAGAAGTACGAAGATGGAGCAGCGATTGTCTTCTGATATTGATATATCATAGCCAGAACAGAGGAAAGAAGAACGAAAGAAGGTTAGGTTAGGTTAGGTTTTATTTGACAAACAGTCATGAGTACACAGTAGCACAAGTTTTTTAAACACAGCTAATACAGAAATGACTAGAAGAACATATTCTGCCGCGCACCCATATAACATACTAAAAATAAGCTAGAAAAAAATAGATACGCTCCATTTGTTTCTGTCAATATATAGAAATATACTGGACATGTCTGTGCGTAGAGCAGACATGGGGACTTCATATACATGCAAGAGAATAATGCAGGTTGTCTATAAAGTCATTTCTTCTTTTTTTAACGTACTGTGAAGATGAAGACCATCTTTACTCGTATTTTTTGCATAGTTTAACCTGCGTTTTCTTACTGATTTGTCATAAAAAAGTATAAAAAATTAAATAACTTGAGCCTTTAACTTTAACGTAAGTACACAGCAATTTGAGACGAAGGAAGGGAGGGAGTTTCTCATCGAAAATGATTTCTTTTCCTTCGTAGATAAAGATTATGACATGGTGAGAGTGCCAGATGGTCGAGGAAGACTAAAAAACTGACTGCATCATGTTCTCGAAGAAAAATCCGAGTAAAACATGGTGTGGTCGAGTCTAAAAAAAACGAAGCTAGAGCTATTCACAAAGCGGAAATCGATAATGCATGACTTTTTTGAGGTACGCATATTGTTTTAGATATTTCTCCTCGGATGCGC